ATAATATCAATTTTTTAAAAATGTTTGGTATTAAAAATTAAATTTTAAATTTTTTTGTCAAAATTCCCGAATTAAATAATTCGCAACCCACATATTAAATATGTTTTCGCTTACCGATCAGTTCGTGAGCCCCGGCCATGCGTTTAGGTGAGTATTCTAAATGTGTTTTCAAATAATCGAAAATTTGACTTGCTCCTTTAATGCAAGCGGTGCGCATGGCATCATCACCGTAGCGACTCTTCACATATGGRTCGGCTCCATGTTCCAATAATAACTTGGTAGTTTCTAATCTGTTTTTGTTATTAAAAATTAAAAAGAAACTTTGGTAAATATATAATATAATAGTGTAAAATTCGACTTTACAAACCTATGTTCCTGTATGGCATAATGTAGGGCAGTCTTCTCTTGTATATCTTTGGCGTTGACATCAGCGCCTTTTTTCAATAAATATAAACATAATTGTGGTGATTGCACGGAATTAATCAGACATGTGCCACCGTTAATGTTGGATTTTTGGATATCGGCGCCAGCCTCAACCAAATATTGTACTGTAATATCATAGATATTATTTTAAGATGATTTAAGATGATTTTGATTCAATTCAATTCAGTTTCGTAAATAATTATTTCATATTACGCTAACAAATAATTACTAAAGCAACAGTAACGGTAGACTTACCGATCTCGACATGTGTCATAAAACAAGCGCTGCGTACCGGCGTTGAACCTGAATCTGAGGTTGCATTTATATCACAGCCAATGCGTATTAAATATTTGACCATCGGCAATTTTCCAGACACTACAGCGCACCAAAGCGGCGTTACATAATGAAAGGTATGATCTTCAGGTACCTCATATAAGCCGCGCTGTTCAATATCTGCTTCACATACAGTGACTAAGTATTCCGCAATCGTCACACAACCCCGTTTGCAGGCGATAAAGAGTGGAGCACAACCATTTCGCATTTTCTTAACGACTTCCCGTCGTATGTCACGGCAGTAGCTAAAAATTAATAAAAAAAAAGTTCAATTTGATGGGAAAGAAATTACAATACCCTTCAAACTTCATACAAACATTTCCATACAAAAAACAGATATTTATGGGTAAGTTTGTCGAAAGCTATATGCTAGTCATTAGCACTAAACAATTTCTTAGATAATTTTAAAGATTATACCGTAGTTCTAAGCAATAGTTCGAGCCAAATTCCGTTAACGTATCTGGTCAAATAAAAAAGTTTTCCATGACACAGTTTTGATCGTTCAGTTTGAATGACAGCTGTATGCTTATATAACGTATATTATACGTTATTCCAAAAGAAAAAAGGAAAATATTTAAAAAGAAACCCGAACTACATGAATCTCACCTCCAATACCATTCTGAAATTCTATCGGGTAAATATTCAAATGCATCCAGACCAGTATTTCACGTAGGTAAAATTATGGCATTTAAATAATTTTTGTTTTAATTTTGTGGCTATGCCGAACACGTGCATGTATGCACATATACATATGTATATGTATATAATTATAAATATATGTATGCATATATAAACCTTTTATATATAGATATACATATATAAGCTTTACAGATATGTATGAATATAGCATTAGCAGGTTTGTTTTTTATTTCAATTAATGCAACTACAGCAAACCGTAATATTGCATTACCACCAAATATTTAACAGTAGTTAATGTAAGTGTTGGTGTTTTTTATTCATTTTACTTCAGTATTGATTATTAATTATTGTTATATTTACGTACCTTTCAAGTTCATCCCGTATGCTTTTTGTTAAATTCGAGTCTTCCTTACACCGTTTACATTCCTCTATTAAGTCATAGTTTAGTTTAGTGATTTTCCTCTGCATGCTGGGTACAATAAAAGATAGCCATCCATTAACTCGGTCCACAGCATTTCCATCAGTCTTCGAATTTTGTCCCGTGGTGGCGCGTTCAGAATTCSCACTACCACTACTCATTACTGCGCCTAGTTTTCGGCCTCCAGCTGTTTCGTCTTTAAATAACCTCTATTTTTTGTATATTTTATCGTTGATGTAATTTCTGTTTCCACATCCAGAAATAAAAGGTATCTATATTTTTGTACACTTTTTCTTCAGTAAAAACAATTTACCTTTTTTTCCTTCTCCTTACTTATAACTTGAAATTTTAAGTTTTTATAAGCTAATATTTGATTTACTCGTATGCTTTCGCACTATGCACACTTTTTATGTTTAGATTGCAAAACTCACTTCAATACTTTTAAATTTATGGTGTAAATAAAAATAGAATTGTTAAATTACTTGACAGAAAAAATCGTTTRTTTTGCTTTCGTCTCGCAATGAATACAAGTAAACTGAAAGTGCTACCAGTAAACTTTGTTCATTACAAATATGTAGGAGGATGCCACCATGGATGCCATATAAGAAAATACTAAATACAGGGTTGCTACAACTTTTAATTTTTTGGTCTGTGTGTCAACCTGTAACATTCTTTCTTGTGTTGAGTTGGGTGAAAACAAATTAGATATGTTGTAAAAAAAATTTACATTTTTCTGTGTTAAATGGAAAGTGAAGCTTTAACATTTGAAGTTCCAAGCAAACGTAATTGTGTAACTTTAATAATTTCAGCAAAAAAATGCATAACCACTGAATAGACAGACAGAATAAATAGATCGCATGGAGCAAAGCGAACGTACCAAAGAGAACATGAAAATAAGACTAGCTTTTGCGAAGAATCCCCAGCTAAAGTAYTCAAAATTCTGGTATCTAATGAATAGGAATGATGCTAGATCCAATKTCAGGCAACCACCATTACAAGAATTAAATCCACGAAAGCAATTTTGAACATTAGTTATGGCATGGAGTCGCCACTTTGTCAATTTTTGTTTCATTCCATTCGGTTAGGCCACTTGCATATGTTGAAGCAAAATGACTGCCACTATTTGCAGTGACATTTAACAGAACATTTGAAGTAAAATTAACGCGGTGTGTCATCACCGGGTTGGATTTTTCAACAGGGTAATGAGCCAAGGTCGTTAACGAGCAAAAATACCACAGGCCAATGTATCCCACTGATTCGAATAAATTGCAAATCCTGCAGGAAAGGTATTTTGCTCAAAAATGTCCCTAATAAAATACTAGACGAAATAAAATTTCGAAATTTTTTATCTGATTTTTATTTTGTTGCAGGTGGCTTATCAGTTAGAGAATTTTCGGGACATAGAAGTTTTCATTAAAATATACAATTTTTTCAAAAAATTTTTTCTATACATTTTTATTTATTTACATCGCATAAAGTAATTTTTATATGTGTAATGCTCTCAAGTCAGTTGTATTAATAATCGTATTTAAATAGGAATTAAAAAACGCAAAGGAATGCTATCCAATTCAGTCAGCAATGCTACTTACTTCCGTTTAGTTTGTTTGTTTGAKTTCCGCTAAATTAAGCTAACTCCTGYATTTTTATTCGAGCTTCCTTCATTCACAATAACAGTAGCTCTTGAGACAAACTTTTATGTGTCTGATATTCAGATTCAGCGCAATTATCCTTCCTTTTGAGGATACTTTAGCTTTGATTCACCATTTCTCTACTGGCTAACTTTTTCGTTATTAAAGGCTTTACTAGTTGGAGCAACAACAAAATAAGGTGAAGAAAACGGTACAAGCGCTTGTTACCATATCTTTCAAAGATTTCAAATCAAGTTTTATTATTGTGAATGGCTCAATTGATACATTAAAAAGCTTTTTTATCGAACGGCTTGGAGAGGTTCTTCCTCGTCCTAGCGGAGCTTTTGGTATTGTTAAACGTCAGTTTACGCARCTGTAATAATTTTTGCGGGGATAACAAATTCCGACATAGCGGCATAAAGGCAGCCCCTTTTCGTGCTGTCAAAAGCAGCCTTGAAATCGACGAAGAGGGCGTGAGTGTCGATTCTCTTTTCACRGATCTTTTCCAAGATCGTCAATATCTGGTCGGTTGTTGACTTTTCAGGTCTAAAGCCACACTGATAAGGGCCAGTCAGTTTTTTGACAAAGGGCTTTAATCTTTCACACAATATCCTCGATAGAACCTTATACGCGATGTTGAGAGACTTATTCCACGGTAGTTKGTGCTGATTGTGCRGTTTGCCTTTTTGTGGTTGGGCAGAGCACACTTAAATTCCAATCGTCGGGCATTATTCGCCTTATTTGCCCACCCTGCTCGGCAGCTCTCATAGGTGCGGTCCAAGCGCTCATAGAAGGCATCTTTAAACAAAAAGAAATATATATTTCATGTCTCATCAAGCCATTAAGCCGAAAAATGGTCATCGCCATAAAATTTCATCTAGTGTTAAGCCTTACAGCAGACGAGTTGTATATAAAAACTTCAAATTACAGCCGTAGAAATTCATGGTTTTTATAATACAATTAATACAATATTAAAGTGCGTACTCGGAAACCCCTATTAACAAGTGATGTTAACTAAACAACGATAGTACTGCTATACCGACAAATCCAGGGAATCATGGGCCAATGTATTTTTAGTGCTGAAAACATGTTAAACTTATTTAGTTGTGATGGCAAGCAAACAATACGAATTCGCGAAACGAACGAAGAGCTTCTATGGAAAACTTTAATACAATTATGAAAAACTGCAGTGGTTCAGACAAGGCATGGAGATGCATGCCGCCGAATGAAGTTGAGAACCTGGACTTTGTTCATATATACACCTTTGTGTTCGTTTGAACGTTCTGAAAAGCAATTTGCAAAGTTTCGCCCTCAATTTGGGGCTTGATAGCGCCTGGTATTTCCAACAGGCACACATCCTATGTATAATGTTAAGGAGGCTTTGCTTTAGAATGTACCGAAACAGTTCCATTCGCCCCACACTATCACCGGACCTTAAACCGACAGAACATATGGTGGACGAATTAAAAACACGAGGAACTAAATGATTTGGTGCATGAGTGGAAATAAACAATCATTTGGAGTAAAAAATCTGGGGGGAAAAAAAAATTGGGGAAAAATTAAATTTTTCTTTAAAAAAAATGCCTCCATTTTGCCAATACTTTAATTTTTTTAACGCAGGAGACGGAGAATATCTTTTCGTTTAACGAGAATTTTTCGTTTTTACGTTTCAACCACGGAGAAGGCTACAATCACTGCCT